GTGCCCATGTGGCTAGCAGGGGTCTAGCCTAATGCCTGAACTGCCTGAACAGCTGCATATGCTTGGTTTCCTCATGGTGTCTTACAGAGCCCACTGAAGGAAGTCTTTGAATTATACAGAGTCCATATGAGCCTATGGACACATGGAGTTCATATGGACTCTTAAATATGAAATATGTAAGACAGAGAGATGAAAGAGAACAGTTGGTTACATTGTAACCAGATTCTCAGAGTGAAGAGACCATCTCTCCAGTTCCAACCTGCTCAGAAAGGCTTTGAAACCAAGGTTAACCTATGTGGCTTATATAGCCACAGTGGCAATTAGTTCATGGCCACCAGTGTGTGTCTTAAATAGTATCCACATCATGTACGCACCAACACGAGCTTTAGCATCCATCAAGTAGCGGCCACAGGTATAAACTGTCTTCTCCTTTACTAGTTCATGAAACCTCTTCAGGTCGCTGTATGCCTGATAATAAGGAAGAAAGCAATAATGTAATAATAACCTTATAACCAATGTAATGAAATAGACAATATCAGTATATACATACACATATACATACATATATGAAAAGTTCTTATGCAACTGCACCTCTCGTAGTTGTTTGATCTTACTGTCCTGGAATTCCTGCAGTGTGTATGCATACTTTTTCTTCATGTGACAGAAGCCCGTTTCAATAAGTTGGCAGCACATTTTCCTAATATCCATCAGTGCAGGACTTAGATTCTGATTAACATAGACAAATGTGAAGAATATGATAAAAGAAACGCACTCTTATTAAAATCTGTATAATTCAAAGACTTTCTCTCTCTGAAAATATTTCGAGATCACTAAAAACAGACCTCAATTTGTACATGCACATACCGGAATGACAATAAACAAATTTTTTTGTAGTGACTTCCTGGCCAAAGTCATCTTGTTGGCACGAACATTTCTGTGCCAGACATAGAAAGATTTCCATAGTCTGTAACTCTTGATGGGAAGCCTTGGGAGAGGAGGGGTTGACATCACACCCTTTAAGGGCTGAGAAAAGAAGAGAGAAGTTAAGTTTTCCAGTTATAGTGGCAATTATGACAGAAAATTGCTTTAGACATATTTTGGAACTACCTATTCACTGTACACTATAGATACTGTTTACTGATGTACTACAGCACTATATTGTTTTTTTAATGTAAAATATGCTACCATGATCACAAATTCCTCACACAAGCTTTATCTGTCACATACACAATCATACAGAGTACGATACGCAGTAAAATGTTTTGGTCTGAGCTGCTGACCAGGCTGGAAGTAGGACGAACCATGTCGAGGGCTTGGTTTTGAGCATTGGCGGGGGTGTTACAGGATGACTCTATGGTGTGGTGGGACTCGACTTGTACCTGTCATCGCATCGGTGTGTATGTTCAGTAATAAGTCTGTTGCAGGGACATTTTTAGTGAAAGTAGTTTTTATATGAATATGAGACGGTAGTCTTGTAGGTTGTGTGCGCGATGCTTGCGAATAGACCGCAGGATGGGTACATTTGTTAAAGGCATAGCTTTTTTAAAATTACCGCTATTATTTTCATCCTGTTGAGCATTTTTATTGAATGGAAGAGGGTCGGGTGGAATGCTTATGGATGCTGTTTGATTTAGATTTTGGTTTGGGATCGACGGCTCAGAGGTTTTAGGTGTCGTTGGAGATGGTTTACACTGTGCTAACAGTGTATTGCATTATGAGCAAAATAGTAGGGCTGCACGATTTTGCATAAAATGAGAATCACGATTTTTTTGCTTAGAATTGAGATCACGATTCTCTCACGATTTTCTTTTCCAGTATAAATATTTATTGCACTTATTAACTGCACATCAACTTCGTAACAGTTGAGACTGAACATAAAAACAATAAATAAACATAAAAACAACAAATGTCTCACATTTTGTCGTTGCCGCAAAATGTTGTACTGCTTGAAATTCCGTCTCCACCGTTGCTCGACACTGCGTGTATAGAGCAGGTAGTGCAACAATAGAAAAATAGTTGCGGGACGGCACTGTGTAGCGTTTGTCTAGGGTGTTGATCATTTTCCTAAATCCCTCATTTTGGGAGCCATATCTTTGGTCAGGTGATAAGTGATAGCCTCCGTAATGTCTTTGTGCTTGCGGGAGTTCGACGTGTATAGGGAAGCGCTGTACAAGGTTCCCGTTATTGATGTTTGGGTGGTTGACGGATTTTCTCCTGTCACTTTCTCGTCATCCCTAACGTGCTCTCCATTGTTTTTTCCCTGCCAATTTTAGCAGCCAGCTTCTGTATCACATGGTATAAGGCTCCGCCCTTGTCATTTGTTGAGCAGGAAGTGTGAGCGCTTGTTTTCATGCAGATTGCGTCCCGGATCAAAATAGGGTACAATCGTCATCATCTTTTTTTTTTTTTTTTAAAATCGTTGTCATTTGGAAATGAGATCGCACATAAGTAAATTGAGATCGTGTAA